GGCCCCGCACTCACCTACACAGCCCAGGGGTCCCGGCCCCGCACTCACCTACACAGCCCAGGGGTCCCAGCCCCTCGGCACTGGGGTGAACCCCAGGAAAGCACCACTTTTGATGTCAGAAGCAAGAGAATATCAGCACTTCCATACGATCCAATCTTAATCCCAGGTTACGCCCACTTTCAAAATATTACTCGGCACAATTAAACGGAATTTTTACAAGTTCAGAAACATCAGTTAAGTGGGTTGGAAATTTTCACACCCGAGCGGAAACACTTTGATGCTACCCAAACACTAACAGACACGTGGAGAGCCTGTGCCCAGTGTAGGGAACTGCGGGACAGAACAGAGAAAACTGGAAGCCACATAAACGCCCACCCGTGGGGGCGCGGCTAAACAAACAACGGTGCACCCATACTAGAGAAGCCTTCAAGACACCCCGGGGCGGCTTCGTAAACTTGCACACGCCACATACGCAGACGCTGTCAGCGGGACTCCTCCACCAGCAGGCAAGACGCACCACGGAACCCTGATGCACACTCGGAATCGCCCACAATGTCTACACACAGAGAAAAACCTCAAAGCATATGCACCAAACTCGTGCACGGGGGAGGTACTTTCCCTTTTTACTTAATACTGAACCTATTACAGAAAGTTACAGGTATAATTCATAACTTAAAAAGATTGAAAGAAAACGCTTCCCCCAAAATAGGAAAACTACCCGTAAGAATTAAATAAATAAAAAATAGGGCCGGCCCCGTGGCTTGGGGGTTAAGTGCGCGCGCTCCGATGCTGGTGGCCCGGGTTCGGATCCCGGGCTCGCATGGAGGCACCGCTTCTCCGTCCATGCTGAGGCCGCGTCCCACATACAGCAACTAGAAGGATGTGCAGCTATGACATACAACTATCTACTGGGGCTTTGGGGGGAAAAAATAAAAAATAAAAAAAATAATAAAAAAATAAAAAAAAAATAAAAGTCATCTGGCTGTTTTTCCTAGTCGTATCCAAGTTTTAGAAGCAAGGACGTGCGCAAGCGGGTTTCCCCCACCTGCCAACACTATCCCTGCTGTACTAAATTCAAGCACCCCAGAAACATGTGAGTTAGACCACTATTTTTCAAACTATTTGACTCATTTTATGAAATATGTTTTCCATGGTAACCCAATACAAATGTAAGCACACCCTTAGATACCATAAGCCAAAATAAAAGTTTCAAGAAGCCACAGTTACTCTGCATGCACGCACTCTGGGATTTTCTAGTTTCTTCTTTTTCTTTTTTTTAAATATAATCCATTAAATTGAATTCACCACCCACCACAGGGTCACAGGCTGAGGTTTGGAAATAGTGAATAGACAATTCCGGCGGTGCTCTGGTGCGCATGAGGCCTGCATTACGTCAGTCGCCGCCCCCTCATGAGCACTGGGTGAGGTGGGGAGGGGGTGTCGCCCCCACTTTACATCAGGAGGCTCTCCGCAGGTCACCTCATCAAACATGCCCGAGAACTTGGACTCGGGTCTCCCAAACATCATGCAAACAATCTCCACTACAGCACACTGCCTTTCCACGGGGCTGTGCAAGGCACTGCTAAGCCTCATTTCCACGATGCTGTGCAGTTTTAAGCTAAAATCTGTTACAGAAAGTAAACTTTGGGGGAAACTCGACTGCTGTCAGAAGCCTGCGTTGGGGTGGGTCTGGATGGGGTGGAAGGGAAGGACCTAGTCTACAGAGAGCGGGGGACCAGAAGAGTGCTTCAACGGCCACCTGCTCGCTCCTACAGGAACAGAGATGGACATCCGGAGTCAGAAGTGACACCCCAGTAACGACTCCCCAGATCACGACGGTCTTCTGATGAGGAGACCACGGCCCCCAGACGCCACGTCCCGCCGGGAATCGCCAATAGGCCAAGGGCAAGGCCACACGGGCACCGGGCTTTGCGGACTCCCAGCGCCAGCCTCTTCCAGCACCGTAGAAATCCCGTTTAACAGGCCCCAAGCCTGTGGACATGGCGCCATCAACTCCCACCAACTCTACCTGAATCAACTATGGCGCAGGGTACTGCCCCGTGGCGACGGGCACACCCCTCTAAAAAAGACTGGAGTGTGCGTTTCTCCACTGGGAAGACCCTGCGGCCTGTCCTCAGAATTCCAGAACAGGCTGCTCACTGACATCCACCAACAGAGCGGGGAAGAATCTGGGGGTCAACCAGCGCAGAAAAAGAAATCTGGGGGTGCAAACACGTCCCAAATTTGCTTAGCCACGTGCAGCAAACAAAATCCAAGCCAACCAGCTACTCTTGCAAATCAAAAAGAAACTGAAGAGCAGGACAGGAGTTAACGACACACTGAAACCAACGCGCTAGCCAGAAGTTACAACATGATGCAAAACCCAGGTGCAGAGGGAGAAGGGAAGGGGTGATAGAACGAACTAAAATAACCTCATTACTTTTCAGCGAGGTCACATCCATTCCGAAACGGTGCAGGAGAGCGGGAGGGACTCAGGCTCCCTGCAGAGGGACCTCGGCGCCTCCCAGCAAATTCCTAACTTCTCTGCACCCTCCACTCTGAACTGCACCACGTCCCGGGGCCACGGTGGGAAGGGCCCCATAACATCTGGAAGTGGAACCCGCATGGTCTCAAGCAGCCGCTCTCCTTAGGGCAGCCTCTCTCTCCAGGAGAGGAAGGGGCGACTCTCTGCAATGCTTCCATGGTGTTAAGCGTGGGCTTGGGCCCCCTCCATGAAGCCAGCAGCCTGGTGGCCACTAACTGTCCCCATTCCTCCTAAATCTAGGTCACAGGTTGAGAGCAGGGGGAGGGAAGGAAATGGTGCCCACGGTTATACTTTTACTTCTGGAAAACCTGTCCCTCGTCCTGGCTTTCGGGTTCCTAGTTGAAGTCGGCTTCCCTATTCAGGACCCTCGGCGGCTTCCCTGTTTTGAATCAGGGCGACCGCTGCCTCCCTACCCTCCCTAAGAGGGGCGGCCCCACCTTCCCGAGGACTCGGGCCCACGACCAGGCCCCGGGGGGCGAACTGGACAGGCACTCATCTCATACGGGGTTCCTCCGGGGGCGGCCGCGGAGAGGAGGGGCCCCCAACCAGAAGGCCCGGGTGGGGCCGGGGACCTTGCATTTGAACAGCTGATCAGAAACAGCCTCCAGGTTGGAGGGCCGCCGCTCAGGGTAACCTGCGTGCGAAGTCTCTTCCGGGGCCACCTGCGGGGAGGGGGAGGCGGACCCCATGGCCGAGCGGGTAAACTGAGGCTCCAGGAGGCAGGCCACCCAGAGGCAGGGCCCGGGGCGCTGCCTTGTTAACAGTGCCCCCCAGGCGATCCCATACACACAGGGGTCCGAGGATCGTGGCTCGCGGGCCTTCGGGGTCTCATCCGGCGCTGCCCGCGGCCCCCGGGGGTAAACTGAGGCTCGAGGAGGGAGAGGGCGTGCAGCGGCCCAGGCCGCGGGCACGCGGGGCTCGAGCGGGGCCTCGACTGGCGAGCCGGAGGTCGGAGTCGGCTCGGGTCGGGGGTCGGGTGTCGGGTCAGGGCCGGGGTCGGAGGTCGGAGGTCGGGGTCAGGCCCCGCGCGGCGCGCCGGGCTCACCTCGTCCTCCTTGTGGTTGCGGATGCCGCGCACCAGGTCCTGCAGGTTCTTGTCGAACATGCGGTCGATGCTGCCCTTGACCATTTTGAGGGCCATCGCGGCGGCCGCCGCCGGGCTCGAGCCCTGGGAGGCCCGCGGCTGGGCGCCG